AAGAACCGCCAGAAAAAGAGATATGAAAGGAAGACGAATACTTACCAAAATAACACTGGGCAAGGAACTAAAAGCTTGAGAGGGCTTTTTTCTCCTTCGATGATGGCTGAGGAAAGGGCTGTAAGGGCTTTTCCTCCTTTGATGGTGGTGAAAAAAGGGGTCGTGGTTCTTCAGGCAACAAGACTCCGACGGTTCTTCGGCGACAAAATCTCTAAAGAAAGCTCGAGGGTTCAAAAAAGTGAAGAATGGGGTGGGGAGGCTTTGTTTATATAGGCCCCTTGGCCCCACCATTGTGCACGACACATGAAGACAGACACATTCAATGCGCACGATCTCCAAAAGGCAAAAAACAGCTAGGGCAATGATGAGGCAGTTGAGCCATTTCACCTTCCGACGACACATATCCCTTCCGTATGAAGATCAAAGAGTTGGGGACAGTTGATGGGACACTCCTGAGAAGGGAGTAGATTGCCAACACGTGTACTCGACACCGAGAGTACTCCCTTCCATTCTGATTAGAACATGTGTCCTCAGCATAGGGGGCCCGTCTTCTACTCTTGTGAAAACACAGAGGCTCCAATGCCACTTGTCCTCGGCTCCGAGGTACCTCCCCTCGAGCAACTGCATGTCCTCGGCTCCAGGAGTACTTGCTAGAATTCTGGTCCAATCACGTGTCTCCTACTTCTGGAAAGGCTATCGATTGGCAAATACTTACTGACAGTTCGTCAGTCTTAACTGGACTAGGGATGGTGATGGTGCTCTGCAAAATAAAACCAAGATGGCAGAGCCAATGAGCCACTCAAACAAGGGGAGTTAGGCACGTGGCGTAAAGTGTAGAGTTAGGGGTAAAAAGACAAAAATTCCCCTACTGATTTATGGCTATCACAGGCAAATATTTAATGAATCCTCATATGATGGGACATCCACAGTGGCTTTGGGAGCCGAGGAGGAGGAGCATTAAATGATCCAGGGCCTAAGCATTTAATGACTCTACATTGAAGAAAGTGTATTAAATGCTCAACATCCCGAACAATTAATATTAGGGGATCCCCCGTGCAAAATAGGGGGCACATTACCCCATTCTGGACGCTATCTACTATCTAGACAATCAGTAATGATGAGTCTTTGAAGGTATAAATAGTCTACAAAAATACATTACAAAGGTACGCAAATTCACCCCCTCAAGAGCAATATAGTGTTTTCTTCTTCCCATCTCTCAAAGAACTAACTTGACCGTTAGAGGGGGTACGTCGAAAAACACTCCGGCGCCCTTCTAACTTATTTTTCTGTGTGTCAGGAGCATCCTATGACCCACCAGGACCAGTTGGACAACCCCTGGGGCAATTCATCACCATAATTTAGGCCCCCTTTGGCCCTCTCAACTCACCCCTTGTTGCGGGATCCATCACCTGCTTGACGAACGAATTCATCAGGGGAGAGAATCTATTGCTATCAATAATATCATGTGGTAAAAATGAAAATACTAAAAATTGAATAAATTGTACCTCACTTTTTTATATAAAGATGGTTTAGTTAATATTATATGGATGAGCGGTTATTAAATTTTGTGGAGTTTACTTGCTCACGTATTAGTGGACGGTGGTTACACTACATAACACTGCATGATTGAATAAATAATAATCTTATAAAAAAAGAATAAATAATACTCAAGCATCCTAAGTTTAAAACTTTAGTAATTCTCTTGAGGTCAGACTATAAGAGATTTATTACTTATGAATTCCCTAGTCTCGATTAAATAGTTTGTTTTTGACTTGACGTGGGATGAGATTAATCAAGGTAAATGTAAATTGATCTGAATACCTTGACGATAATACAAAAATAAAAAAAAATAAATGATACATAAAATAAGGTCATTATGAGGAGTGAGAACTAATGACACCACTTAACAAATTTCTTTGTCTCTTCTGCTCATTTTTCCGACCTACCCTTTTCTTTTTTTCGATACATCAAAAAAGAAANAAAATAAAAAAAAATAAATGATACATAAAATAAGGTCATTATGAGGAGTGAGAACTGATGACACCACTTAACAAATTTCTTTGTCTCTTCTGCTCATTTTTCCGACCTACCCTTTTCTTTTTTTCGATACATCGAAAAAGAAAGANAAAAAGAAAGGGGTTAGCATAATCCCCTAACAAAAGCAATGCTACATAGGTCAGCCCCTGAGGGTTTCCAACACTCAGAGAGGAGGAACAATGATCTCCGCAAAACTTTCATTCTATTGCTTGCCCATTTTAGCTAGGATGTTTGCACATTAGTTTTTTTTCACGCATTGTATGGGCAATGGNAGCAATGCTACATAGGTCAGCCCCTGAGGGTTTCCAACACTCAGAGAGGAGGAACAGTGATCTCCGCAAAACTTTCATTCTACTGTTTGCCCATTTTAGCTAGGATGTTTGCACATAGGTTTTTTTTCATGCATTGTATGGGCAATAGGAATCTGATGTACACTCATCAGGTGTTTGCAATTGTTGATCAAGGCCTTCTGGGGATGATCTTCATTCCCACTTATAGTAAGGAGGTCGAAAACCTTCATGTAGTCAGTCTCGATCAACAACCTTGTATAGCTTTTGGAAGTTGGGTAATGCTTCATGAANCCTTCTGGGGATGATCTTCATTCCCACTTATAGTAAGGAGGTCGAAAACCTTCATGTAGTCAATCTCGATCAACAACCTTGTATAGCTTTTGGAAGTTGGGTAATGCTTCATGAACTTAAAAAATAGATTTGATAATCATAACAATTGAATCCAAGCTTTCAAATGGCCTATAATTTTGCAGGCAGGCTTGAGGTCGAATTCAACTTCCCTATGAATCCAAGCTTCCAGTGGCCTTGAGCCAGGGTTGCCTTTAGAGCAGCCATCCGTGGTAATTTTCATCCAACCTACACTGGGAAAGGCTTAGTTAACAAGTGACAAACCACCTGTCTTGTGTGGCCTAGTTTACAACTCTTCTCTATTACCATTTGAACTATTCTTTAAAATTATTATAAGATCATTTTAGACAATTAATTAATAGCATTACAATAAAAGGTACCATAACCATTAATTTTACCTCTATCGTGTCATTGTTGATCATAAAACAATAATATAAAATAACCAAATATAAAATTTATGAGTGTCTTATTTTAATTAGGAAAAAATAATAGAATTAATTCCAAAAAATATTTTTTTAATCTATCATAATCTATATAATAAAGTAACTTACAATTTAAATATCAAAAGATANTCCCATCTCTCAAAGAACTAACTTGACCGTTAGAGGGGGTACGTCGAAAAACACTCTGACGCCTTCTAACTTATTTTTCTGTGTGTCAGGAGCATCCTATGACCCACCAGGACCAGTTGGACAACCCCTGGGGCAATTCATCACCATAATTTAGGCCCCCTTTGGCCCTCTCAACTCACCNTTACAATTTAAATATCAAAAGATAAATAAAATGACTTTTACTATTCGCAGTTGAGATCGCTTTAAATTTTACTTTAAAATTAACACCCCAATTTTAATAGGAAAAATAGGTTCCTAAGGGTGTGTTTGGAGTGACTTTTTAAATGNTTGAGATCGCTTTAAATTTTACTTTAAAGTTAATCTAACGGCTAATATTAACACCCCAATTTTAATAGGAAAAATAGGCTCCTAAGGGTGTGTTTGGAGTGACTTTTTAAATGTACTTTTAAAAATTATTTCTCATAAATACTTTAAAAAAATAGTGTTTGAAACCGCCCTACCACCACCACCGCCGCTGCCGCCACCATTGCCGCCGCCGCCACCACCATCACTACCGCCACCGCCACCGTTGTTGTTGTCGCCNAAAAAAATAGTGTTTGAAACCGCCCTACCACCACCACCGCCGCTGCCGCCACCATTGCCGTCGCCGCCACCACCATCACTACCGCCACCGCCACCGTTGTTGCCGTCGTCGTCGCCGTCGCCACTACTACCACCACCACCAACATCGTCGTCGCCACCACCGCTGCCACCGCCACCGTTACTGCCACCGCCACCGCCACCGCCACCATCATCGCTGCCACCACGATCATTGTCACCCACCACAACTATCACCGTCTCTTACCACTACCACTGCAGCCCACCACCTCTCACCCCCATAACAAATCGATGTTTAAATTTTTTTATCTCTTCTCTTTCTTTGTGATTTAATTTTGAATATGAATACAAATATGTTTATTGTTTAATATTTTTATTACTCTCTGCCTTTAAACACAGACAATAACTAATTCACCTACACTTCATCGATTGCTCCTTCTATTTCCTCTGACTTTTTTCATTCCCTAATAAAACTCAACTCCAACTTTTTTGTGGGTGCCTAAAAATGGACATACAGATATATCATTATGCATATTTATTAAAGAATAATATTTCTTAGTACCACACAATTATTTTTGAAAAATTCCACAACACGTAAATCTGAATTGTAGTTAAGATTTCACACCATGTTTTAAATCGTAAAAAATAAATTTAACCCCACCAAATGTAGAGACCTACTTCATCAATTGCTCAGTCTCTTCCTCTCACTTTCTTCACCCCTGGCAAAACCCAACCTCTTATCGAACCCTCTGGAATTACCCAGAATCTCCCAAATGACACGTCGACAGGCACTGCTACACACTTGGTGACCACGAAAGGCCATTTCCGTCATTTGACACCCAAGTTGTGGATGTATATTAAAGCACAGCAACCCAACTGCTGCCAAAGTATCCAGTTTACTTCAGTAGTGAGAGAAGACAACTGAATAAAATCTTATTGTTTTTGCTGATTCAATGGAGAGAGGTAGAGACAACTGTGGAAGTGGTGGCTCTAACCGAGGTCGCGGCGGTGGTGGTGGCGGAGGAGGAAATCGTGGTGATAGAGGTGGGAATTACCAACGTCACCAGCACCATCAGCAGGGTCTATATCAAGGTGGTGGTGGTGGAGGAAGAGAAGGGGGTGATGGCGGAAGAGGAGGGGGTGGGGTTCCTACCCAGATCGGTGGTCAGCAGCCAGGTAATTGCCTCGTTCAAAAAGGTCAGAGTGGTGGCGCGTACAGGCCACCACATCTACGGAGTGGTCAGGGTCTGGGGCCTACAAGGGTACTGGAAACAAGTGAAGGGTCTGGGAGAGGTGGGTCTGTTGTGGGACCAGCAGGTGGTGGAAGTGGATTGTGGACTGGGAGGTCATGGGGACCCACTTCTGGGCCTCCTCAGTCTCAACCTCAGTCTCCGAGGGTTCCTGATCAAACGATTCCTAGTATTCCTCTTTAACTTTTTTCTTTACATCTTAATGTGAATATGTTTGTGTTCATAGGTTGTGGGGGCTCACAATTCTAAATACAATTTGCGAATTTAACACGAAATTGACTTGGAATTAATGGGTGTATATTTGTTGTAAACTTGTGAATCTATTATACACACAGACACGGAGCCGATAATACACAATTATAGATGGTTGGGTATGAGTCTGGACTCATAAGAACTCGACACGACACGACCTATTGACAGTTCTATTCCTGTTTGTGGATAGTCCAGATGTTTTATATTGAAGAATTTTAGAGCAATTGGGCTGGAACTGTACATGTTGGTTATCATGTTGTTCTGGTTTGATAATCTTGTAAGATTGTATAAATCTATTGATAGGAAACAAAGACTTTGAGATTGAGAAATTTATTGATCTATTCTATAATGATGGTTTCATTGTTTTTCAAGTGCATTGATCATGATTTCATTGAATTTGGTGTCTTACCTTGTTTGTATTGTTGGGGAAGTACTTGTTTTGTTTGAATTAAATTCGTTGGTCTATTAAGAAACCAAAAGAAAAAGCATTNAGGGGGTGATGGCGGAAGAGGAGGGGGTGGGGTTCCTACCCAGATCGGTGGTCAGCAGCCAGGTAATTGCCTCGTTCAAAAAGGTCAGAGTGGTGGCGCGTACAGGCCACCACATCTACGGAGTGGTCAGGGTCTGGGGCCTACAAGGGTACTGGAAACAAGTGAAGGGTCTGGGAGAGGTGGGTCTGTTGTGGGACCAGCAGGTGGTGGAAGTGGATTGTGGACTGGGAGGTCATGGGGACCCACTTCTGGGCCTCCTCAGTCTCAACCTCAGTCTCCGAGGGTTCCTGATCAAACGATTCCTAGTATTCCTCTTTAACTTTTTTCTTTACATCTTAATGTGAATATGTTTGTGTTCATAGGTTGTGGGGGCTCACAATTCTAAATACAATTTGCGAATTTAACACGAAATTGACTTGGAATTAATGGGTGTATATTTGTTGTAAACTTGTGAATCTATTATACACACAGACACGGAGCCGATAATACACAATTATAGATGGTTGGGTATGAGTCTGGACTCATAAGAACTCGACACGACACGACCTATTGACAGTTCTATTCCTGTTTGTGGATAGTCCAGATGTTTTATATTGAAGAATTTTAGAGCAATTGGGCTGGAACTGTACATGTTGGTTATCATGTTGTTCTGGTTTGATAATCTTGTAAGATTGTATAAATCTATTGATAGGAAACAAAGACTTTGAGATTGAGAAATTTATTGATCTATTCTATAATGATGGTTTCATTGTTTTTCAAGTGCATTGATCATGATTTCATTGAATTTGGTGTCTTACCTTGTTTGTATTGTTGGGGAAGTACTTGTTTTGTTTGAATTAAATTCGTTGGTCTATTAAGAAACCAAAAGAAAAAGCATTAGTGTCACCTGTAATTTGATTTTCGTAGGTAGTTTCTATGTATGGTCATAGAGTTGATTATGGGTTTAAAAAGTTCAGGGATTTTTCTCTCAGATGTCCCTTTGTTCCATATGCTGTTTTCGTTTTGTAGAAGTCATTTATTGATGAAATTCAAAGATTTTGGCTAAACATTTCATTATTTCATTTTTCTACACAGATCCTGTTATTCCAGATGTGCAGTCATTGCAAATTTCAGAAGAGAAGCCTCAATCAACTCCTTTAGAAAGTAAGGAGAACAGACTTATGCCCATAAAACGGCCTGACAAAGGAGGCAAGCTTACGATCAGGCCGATAACGCTTCTCATCAACCATTTTTGCGTCACAATCAATCCAGAGAGCACGGTGTTACACTACGATGTGGATATTAAACCCGATATGTCTGCAAAGAAATCCATTCCAAAATCTGATCGTCGTTTGATCAAGGACAAGCTATCCTCTGATGATCCAACACGATTTCCTCAGGAAATGACTGCTTATGATGGTGAGAAGAATGCTTTCAGTGCAGTGCTATTGCCCACTGGGCAATTCAAGGTGGAATTGTCTCGTGGGGATGAGATGCAGAGTGGTCCCTATTTATTTACAAATAAGTTTGTAAATGAGCTGAAGCTTTCCAAGCTAGAGGATTACTTAAGTGGGACGCTTGAGTGTATCCCTCGCAATGTATTACAAGGGATGGATTTGGCATTGAAGGAGAATCCGGGGAGGCATAGGATCTCCATTGGTCGAAGCTTTTATTCCAAAGAATTCAGGGCAGCAGATGACTTCCATTGTGGTGTTGCTGCTTTTAGAGGCTTTGAACAAAGCCTAATGCTCACTTCCCAGGGTCTAGTCTTATGTTTGGATTATTCAGTTTTGGCATTGCGCAAGCAGTTGTCAGTCATAGACTTCCTTAAAGAACATGTTCAGGGTTTCAGCCAAGTTAGTGATGTCAGATTATTGAAAAGAGAAGTGACTAGTGCATTAAAAGGATTGAAAGTTGATGTAACTCACCGTGTCACCACACAGAAGTACCCTATAGCAGGGTTAAGCAGTCAAAATACTCAAGATATTAAATTCATTTTCAAAGTTCCAAAGGGAAATCATCCACCAAGGGAAATTGGCCTGGTTGAATATTTCAGGGAGACATATAGGAAGGAAATTGTGTACAAGGATATTCCCTGTTTAGATTTTGGGAGAAACAATTATGTGCCTATGGAATTTTGTGTTTTGGCGGAGGGGCAGATTTACCCTAAAGACGACTTGGATAGAGGAAGAAGCCTGTTACTGAAGAAGATATCAATGCCTCCGCCAGAGGAAAGAAAGAACACTATCTGCGAGATCGTGCGGGCTGAAGATGGACCTTGCGGGTACCTATTTTTACTTGAGCCTCTACATTTTTTTTAGCCTAATTTATTGTATGTTATATTTTTTGACTATTTATTTAAATGAATTTATTACATGACTGTTGCAGGATAATATGTTGTAGTATTTTCAGTGTTGATCCTCTTCATTTTTTAGCATAGTGCCACTTAATTTAATTTAAACCTCCATGTTTTTGTAGGTAATATATTGTGGTATTTTCATGTTGTTTCTTTTAATTTATCTTTAATTCTCATGGATTGCATGACAAATTTCCTTGGTTGCTTTTGTTTGTTGAAGTCAATGGAGAGCAAACTTAGCCTAACATTTTTGTGGTGCATTTGATTTATAATTATAACACTACAAGTCATTTTGAAAAATTTCACCTTCCCTCATTTCTGAAGTGTTGCCCC